AGAGGCTCTTGGTTTGCAGAGGGGAACGGAAGCCCAGAGCCAAGCCAGAGACTCACTGTAGCAAAGCTGCTCAGTCCTCACTGAGCCCTCCAGGTGACTTTGGCTAAGGCACAGATGTTCAGGACATCAGCCTCATCTGCCCTGTGCTGGGACAAGAGCACACACAGTGCAAGGCCCGGCTGACCTCAGCTGAGAGTGAGAATGTGAGCTGAGATGAGTGAAATTAGAGACTGGGCCTTCCAGTCTCAGATGGTGGGTGAGACTCTTCCGCTAAAGGGGCATGCTGGGCCTGAGGCCGAGGGAGAGGAGGAGAGGGAAGCCAGGCTCGAGAGGCCCTGCCCGGCCCTGCCCGGCCCTGCACGCTGGCCTGTTGTCACGCCAGGCTGGTCCAGCCTCTGCTTCCTGACTCTGAGGAGGAAAGGCGTTCTGAGCAGCCAAGGGATGGAGCTCAGTGCCCGGTCTCGGAATGCCCCCCGACTGGACGAGGCTGCAGTTCACAGAACAGAAGAGTCTTGGTTCCCAGGCCCCATCCCTCGGGGCCAGGATGCCCCGCTGCCCCGGGCCTCCCTCCTCGGCCTCCTGAGCTGTGGCAGGAGGATGGGAGGACCCAGAAGGCTGCGCTCGGCTGTGCGGAGAACTGAGTTCCTGCATGCGCGTGGCCCCTGGCAGTGGGGTCTCTGCCCCACCAGCTCCCGTAGATGGGGAAATTGCTTCTTTTTGACAGAAAAGTTCACTAGGAAGGTCTCTTGGTCACTTGACCTCCTGGTGTGGTTTTATGGTGAGCTCTGTATCCCTCCCCCTCCCCAGAGCTGCGCAAGGTCCGGAGCCCCTGATAGGAAAGTGGAGGAGGGAGAAGAGTTCTGGGCTCACTGTGTGGGTTGTGGGAAGTGCACAGGCGAGTCCCCCCAGCGTGGGCCTCACAGGTGTTCCGAGGCCCCTGCCCGCCCTGCCTCGCCCCTGGCCTGGCTCAGCCCCCAGCACGTACTCTCAGCCTCTGCCCAGGCTCAGAGACCTTCCAGAAGGTGAGGGCGGCCCTGGCTCTTGAAAAGCCTTAGGCTGAAGCGAGGCTCCTGAAGCCTTGCTGCAACCTCCTAACTTAGCCCCAAAGGCCTGGCTGTATCCAGGGTGGGGACTCCCTCAGCAGGGGCCTCTTCCTATGAGAGCCTGGCGGAGCTCTGAGGGGTCATCGGCCAGGCATTGGGTGGGATCTAGGAGGATTTGTGCCCCTTCTCCCAAGAGGGAAGTAGGACCAGTCTGTGGCTTTAGGGCCGCCCTAGATCCAAGATGGATATGGCCATGTGTGGGCTGGGTTCTCAGCCTAGAGAGCCACCTCATTCCCAGTCTGGTCGGACAGGTTGAGGCTGACACCGGGAGGAGAGTCCAGAGTGCAGGAATGTGGGCCTCCTTGCTGGGCATGCCAGTGCCCGGGGGGGGGGTGTGTGTGAAGGGGGGGAGCCTTCCTGTGGAGCAGCCTCAGAGGTGGCCCCACCAGGGGCTCCTCCCTGCAGCCCCTGGGTCCCCAAACAGGAGGCTCCGGGGACCAGGAGGCTCCAGCAGCCTCCAGCTGATTCCCGGCTTCCCAGCTGGAAAGGCTATGACAGAATCCCAGGAATGTGCCTTGAGCTTAGAAAGAAAATTCCCAAAATAACTTCTATAAATACTTGAGGATCGGGATGGGGAGGGAGCTTCTCAGCATGGCCTGCAGCTGGCCTAGCACCGGGGACCACTTCCCAAGGCAGGCCACCTCCAAAAGGAGAGAAAGGCACCCAAGTCTGACCTCCTGCTGCCCTCCCCTCTGGAAGACAGTCAGGCACGGACCTAATGGGGTGAGGTGGCATGCATGGCAATCCTGACAAATAAGACAGGATCCCTTTTCTCCTTCATGCCCATCCCAGGCCACAGTCCCAGACCCCACCCTGCACCTCCAGAAAGAACCTGGGCTTCTAACAGGGAGGGTCCCCCTCAAAGGGCTCCCCAGGCTGCCTGTCCTGTGGCCCTAAGCAGGTCACTGAGTACCCACAAGTGCTCTGAGCCCAGGACCCTCCCACCCAAGCCCTGTTCGAGGACAGGGATCACCTTCGAAGCCCACAGTAGTGGAGCACAATGTCAGGGTGAAGGGGCAGGGGAGCTGCTGTGCTCAGGGAAGGCTTACTGGGGAGCAGGGCCCCAGGTAGAGGAGATGCCCCTCGTCGGTGCAGTGCCATCGCCGTAAGCAATTCTCACCCACTTTCTGATCCCTATGCCAGAGCACACAGCTCTGGCCTCTCCCACGCGAGGGTCACCAGCAGGTCTGGTTTCTCTGGGTTCGGGATGCCCCCTGGCCAGGATGGGGACCAGTCTGCAAGGACATTTGAATGGAATTGTGTTCCCACTATCTCCTTGGAGACCCATTCTCTGGGCAGCTGAGGGCAGGGGTGCCAGGCCCTTGGCAGTGCAGGCTGGGGGCAGAGCAGGTGAGACCTACAGTCCTCCTGGGGCGGGCCCTGTCCAGCTGTCAAGCAGCAAACAGCTCCAAGTTGCCACCAAACATGAACAGGCTGGTGTCTCAGGCAGGTGGCAGCAGATCTTGTTACCGCCCGGCCTCTGGGCCCCAGCCTGACCCCAGCCTGGTGTCTCCTTTCAGGCTCGAAGGTCAGCACCCCAGGGTGGCGGGGATATGATCCAATCCTAGCCCAGCCCACAGTCTCCCCACAGAGAGCCCTGCCCTCTAGAGAAATCAGCTGTTCCACCTCCTCGCCCCCTCCCCAACCCTCTGCTCATCCTGGGGACACGTTTATTCGCTATCTGCCCACCATGTGCCCCGCCTGGCCACGCAATTTCAAATTCATCATTGCAGAATCCTCACAATAGCCTACGAGGCAGGACTCTTCTGTTTCCTAGTTTACAGATGAGGAAACCGTGGCTCAGAGAAAATGGGCCCGTTGCCCTGGGTCGCTGTACTTGTCAGTGACAGAGCTGGGATTCCTGTGGCTCTGGGGCCCTGGGCTCGTCTGCACAGAGCATGCAGAGGAGCCTGCTGCACACCCTGCACACGGAGAATACGCACACGCACACGCACAAATCCTGCTCAGCCTGCAGGCACATTGGCTCCTCCCCAACACCCACATGCTTCTTGAGATCAGGGGTTTTCAAACGCATGTTTTGATGGAGCCCTCTTTTCTGACAAAAGCTCACGTGGAAGCTCAGTGTAAAAGCCACCGCGGCCCTGCCCCTCTTGGGGAGGCTCTGCCGATTGGCCGCCTCCGTCTGTCCTCCGTCGCTCTCCCATGGGCAGCACTCAGAGGGCTCAAACCTCCCATTTTTGGTGCCTGGCAGGCTGTCGTCTCGCCTTCCCTCCCTCCTCCCTGTGGGCCCTGTTCCATCAAGAACTGTTCAGGGTCCAGCTCCCAGGCCCTGTGGGCAAAATAGCTTGGCCTGGAGCCCTGCTGGCCAGACTGGGCACAGCCCTCTGGTCCTCAGCAGCCCTGAGTCAGCACTGCGCCCATGTGGCCAGGGCCCGGGCCCTGCCGGAGGCTCCTTCCAGCCACAGCTCCCCTGTCCTCAGCCTCATCCTCGTGGTCGCCTGGGGATGGCTTCAACCTGGGTGGAAGGGGCTGAATACATCTCCCTCTTCCTTTCCTGCCCCTGGCCCCAGTACCACCAGCTAGCACCTCCAGAGAGGCTTTTCCTAGGCTTCCTGAGCACCATCTTTCCCTCTAGCCTAATTGGTCATGTTCCAGACTCTCGGAGGACTTGATGAAATCGGGCATGTGCATCTTCCCTAGTGGGTCTCCATGGCAACAGAGGGCCTAACTCTGGGGAGCGTGGTGAGGGTGAAAATGTTCCAGCTAAAAATGTACATGGCCACCAGTGGGCGGGCACCCGAAAGGGGGCTCCCAGCAGACGAGAGGCAGCTCCCCGCCCTGCCTGGCCCCCGCCTGGCCAGGAAGTTAGTGCTGTCTGTGCGTTACCTCATATCTTTGTGCTTTACCTCGATCTTTGAATGAGAGGAGGCCCCTGTGTTGCCGTCCACGCTGCCTCTGAGGGCTGGGACACAAATCAGTGAGGTGGGATGGTGCAAAGCAGCCTTTGTGGGAACAGAGGCCAAACAGGGACCCCAGCCCTTTCCCTTGCGCACCACCTACCCCCTACATCCCTGCACCCTTCCCAGTGTAGGTGGGAGCGGATGTAGAGGGGAAGGGTGCCAGTTTCACTTCCCAACCCCTTTTTGTGAAAATTCCTGTCACTTCCTGTATCTCTCTGCAAGGCCCAGCTCCTGGCCACCCTCCCAGAGCCCTCCTTGTAGTCAGCCTCCATCCCTGGGCCCCGGCTGCCTGACTGTCCTGTGACCCTCACCTGCCAGACCAGGCTGGAATGGGCATTGGTCCCAGGGCCCAGACACCCCTAGAAAGACCAGCTGCTAATGCAGGCAAAGGAGCTGCCCCCAGGCACCCACAAGCTTGCGGTCCCCCCTGGGAGGTAGAAGCTGGGGCCTGCAGCATACATCCCTTGGACACGGGCTTCCCTGGGGAGAAGGGCAGCTCGGCAGGCTGGGAGTGACAGACCCATTGCCCAGCTCATGCTGGCCACATGCAGTTCAAGTATTTTACATACACTGACGCATGTAGACTTCACAACATCCCTCCATGTGGCTGCTGTGGTCTTTCCCACTTATAGATGAGGAAGCTGAGGGCCAGAGTGGTGGCCTGCCCAGAATCCCCCAGCTGGCAACGGGGAGATTTAAAGCCAGGTCTGCTGACTTCAAAGCCCACCCCCTGGGGTCAGGAGGGACAGCCCCCAGGGTGTGATCTGGGAGGCTCGGCTGGAAGCAGGTCCGGGGTGGAGACAGGTAGGATTTGCATTAGCCATGGGCACAGTCACTTGACCAAACCCAAGCCAGAGATGCCACGTCTGGGGCCTCCAGCTGGTGGCCAAGCTGCTTCCCACTCCTTGCCCTAATTACCAGGATGCCCCTGCCCCGGAACATCCTCACTAACCCCAGCCCTGTGCTTGCTCCCCAGGGTCTGATGCTGAGTCGGCTGGGCCACAGATGCCTGGCCCAGAAGGTGCTGCGGGATGCAGTGGAGAGGCAGAGCACCTGCCACGAGGCATGGCAGGGCCTGGGCGAGGTGCTGCAGGCCCAGGGCCAGGGCGAGGCCGCCATCGACTGCTTCCTTACTGCCCTCGAGCTGGAGGCCAGCAGCCCAGTGCTGCCCTTCTCCATCATCCCCCGAGAGCTCTGACCCCGCCCTGCGGCAGGGAGGGACAGGGCTGCCCAGGGGGCGCAGGCGGACAGCAGGGAACACGGGTTCAGGGAGGTATGAGACCTCAGGGAAATAAATCTCTAGGGAACACTTCGGGCTGCAGCCCTAGTTCTCCTTGCCTCCCCCTGCATTCCCTCCAGGGCCAGCTGGGCTGGGGAGCTGCTCATCTGGAGCTGGGCTGGACCAGATTTGCATCAAAAGCAAATTCCTTGCTCCTTGGGACTCAGACATTGTGGCATTTATAAGCAAAGAAGTAGCTGGGAGGCCACATCAACGTGGGGGCCCCTCCCAGAGTAGCTGTGCATCATCCAAATGTGTAGCAAGGTCTGTGTGGCTTGGTTACCTCCCCATCTAGAACCCCCCGTCCTGTAACTGCCACCCTCCCTCAACGTCCTTGACCCTTGATTTCCAGCTTTGCACAAACTTTATTCTTGAACCTTCGCTCTGGTCTCCAGCACCAAAGATGAACCCTGCAAGCTGCTCTCTGGCTGGGCCAAGAGGGTTTTCCTGAGTTCTTCCCTTGGTACCTCGGGAGACAGTCCGCTTGAACCTTAAGTGACTTAGAGTCGTGGTGACTGGACTTCCTCCCCGAGAGCCTCTGTGCCCTGGGGGGGCCTCACGGCCCTGGTCCCATGCTCCAGTCTTAGGACAGCATTTTGGATCACTCTCAGGTCTTGCCCAGAGCAGTTGGGGCTTGAAGAACCCACTGGCAAGTGGAAGAAGATGGGCCTTTGGGTTCATCTCCCAGACTTTGAAGCTCTGGTGTCTGCCTGGGGACACTGAGCACTGGCCCTAGGTAGCCTTCCATGTCTGCCCACCTCCATTTTCTTGGAAATGCCCCAGCTAAAGCGGCCTCCTGAGACCCTGGGCCATAGCCCCAGAACGTGCCTCAGGCTGTCAGCGGGGCTGCTGGACCCAGCCCTTTGCAGCGCCTGACATCAACACATCATTCCTTCAAACTTGACCTTTCTGGGCAGTGGGTACACTGCAGATCCCTCTGCAGAAGGGGAGTCTCTAGGACTGTCCCCAACTCATTTCACCACCCACAACCCAATTCACCTCAGGCCTTCTTGGGTAACCCAAGCCCCACCCTGGCCATTTGGTTCTCCCTGCCTGGCACCACATGCCTGGTTGGAGATCCGAGAAGGAGACGGAGCCTGACACCTCCTATCTGGCTGAGCAGGCCTCTGTACTTGACACCTTTGTCCACAGGGTTCCTGGGTGCTGGGGGTGTCTTCCCTGCTGCTCCCCTAGCCTGCTGCATGATGCTCCTGGAATCTTCCCCAAGAAGTCAGCCCACCACGGGCCTGTCAGGGGAATTCTATTTTTTATCTGCACTTTGGGTTTTAGTTTTAAAGCTCCCGGTACATCTCTCATTCTAAGGTGTGTGGAAAGGTTGGGCGAGGACTGCCCTGGTTTGTCACAGCCCAGTCTCTCTCGCCACACTGCTCAGCACTGTGCCCCCAGGCTTCCCAGGGAGAGCCTGCACCTCCCGGCCTCTGCCAGGTGAGCGACACTGCGGAGAGCAGCAGGTCCTTCGCCTCCTGGCTGAAGGGTCTCTCTGTGTAAGTGTATGTATAAATATATATATATATATATATATTAGAGCTCTATTTTTATTCTGGAATTCTGTTATAAAAAAAATAAATGAGACAAAGCAAATGCTATTGAGTGCCTGAGGGGTCAAAGATGGTGGTGGTGGTTCTTGGGGACAGGCATCACGTGCATTTTGATTGTGTGCCCTCAAAGGAGGACTCAGCGGGCTGGCCAGGTTGCTGACAGTTCGCAGACTGAATAAAGAGACCCCTGAAGGGGAAGCTGATTTGTCTGAAGCAGTGTGTTCATTCAGCGCGCAGGTGGCCCTGGATCAGACCTTGAGCAGGCCCTGGAGAGGAGCAAGTATTGCCGAGGGAGAGGCCCAAGGCGGCAGGAAGGCCAGGGCCTGGCCCTTGCGGTGGGGGTGGAGGAGCGGGGGGCGGGGGAGCTGGGGGTCTTGAGCCCAGTGAGAGTGGATGACCATGGTGGAGGCTTGGGAGGGCTTCAGGGTCAGGTTGAAGCCTGGATGGGTGGGAGGAGACGGGTCCAGGCAGGTCCACCTAGTGTAGGTCTCATTCTGGACTGCCATCTGTCACTTAGTGGCCCTGAGCCTCTTGTTGCCTCCCTGGTCCAGCTGGGGAGTCCAAGGCCAGACTTGCCATCTGAACAGAGACTGTTCCAAGGGCACAGCCAGTGGAGCCCCTCCAGCACCTGGGGGAGGAGCACCAGGGAGCGGGGTGTGGTGAGGATCCAGGTCACATCCAGATCGGCCACCTGCGCTGAGAGGTCCGTACCTATACATGCCTAATATATGTTAGAGCACATACCAACATACTACATATATTAGAGTGTGCATTAACATCTTGAAGGATGACAAATTCACACAGGTGCTCTATTTTCTTCATGTTCCCCCAGGGGTGGTCTGGTGAACCCCCAAGGCTGCACCCACCCACTTTGAAGACACCTGCCCTTAAAGCTTTCCCTAGAACTTGGGGCTGGCCTAGACTGAGCTTCCTGCTCCCTTGGCCTCTCTGTGCCCCGCCCCGCCCCCCCCCCCCCAGTTCTATTCTCCAGTACGGTTTTGCTGTCTTAGTGAAGGGGGGTCTTTCTTGGAGCCTTCAGGTGCCCAGAATCTCTTTTGCTGTGATGTTTTCTTTAAGGAAACACATTCACAATCTTTAGTGATTTAACTGTTAGTATCAGACTACTTGCCACACACCCTCACCCCAGCTCATGATCACCTGGGGTGAGAATTAAAGTCCATAGGTGATGTTATATTATCTGCCAGCCTGGGAGAAAGTTCTAGAAGGCTCGTCCTTCAATGAAGAGAATGGAAAGACCTTGCTGTTTAATACGAGGGCTCTGCTGAGCTGACCTCAAGTTGGTCAGATGTTGAAAAGTCAGGAAGGGGTGGAGACATTTCCTGACCCCCAGGTCTTCAGACCCCTTGTTCACGCATAAACCCTTACTGGAGAGGGAGGGAGCCAGCCCATTGTGCCAGAACAAGGGCGGGCGTCTGGGGACAAGGCGTACGTTGCACTGTCACCCCGTGGACCTCCAGCCCACCCGCACTCTCCAGGACACAGCCCTTCAGTACTGTTTATCTGCAGGCACAACTACGAATGGAATTTCAGCCACCACCACCCAGACTCCTTGCTGGTACCAGAGTGCTCATTGTTGCATTTGTACCCCCCACCCTGGCATTCAGATGTCGTCACCATGCAAATATTTCTTGGCCTTGTTTGGGAAACAGCCAGTTATATAAACCTCCCCCAGCCCATGCTGCCAGCTCTTGATGGCAACCCACTGTGATCCCAGAGCCCACGTGCCAACCTGGCCCAGGCAAGGATCTGGGGACGGCTGGGGCACCCAGCAGCCTGGCGAGGACTGGGGGGCACGGCGAGGCCACAGGGAGAGCAGCCTTTCAAGGGGAAGAAAGCGTCACTCCATCCCAGCTGCAAGTTAGAGATGATGTGAAGGCTGAATAATATGCCCCTCAAAGGTGCCCATGTTCTAATTCCCAGAACCTGTGAATATGTTCTCTTATATGGTAAAGGGATTTTGCAAAGACGGTTAAGTTAAGGACCTCGGGGGAGGCTATCTGGATTGTCCAGGTGAGCCCATGTAACCGCGGGACCCTTGGAGGAGGGAGGCCGGTGTGAGGGAGCAGGTTCGGAGTGATTTGAGGAAGGAATGCAGGTGGGTCTGAGAGACAAGGAAACAGATTCTCCCCTGCAGCCTCCAGAGGGAATCACCCTCCCACACCTTGATTTTAGCCAAGTGAGACTGTGGGACTTCTGACCTCCAAAACTGTAAGAGAATAAATTTGTATCATTTTAAGCAACAAAATCTATGGTACTGTTATAGCAGCCACAGGAAACACACAGATGGTTTGGATGAAGAACGCCCCCAGGTACAGCACTGGGCACGTGGGCTCCGGGGTACTCTGCAGTCCAGCTCCTGTGTCCAGCCCCGCACGGGTTGGGGATTAGAAGTCTAAGCAGATGTGACTCTGCCTGGCATGTTTTCAAGGGTCCCTCTAGCCCTGTTGAATAAAGGAAGCTCCGGCAACGTCCTTTCTCCTTAATGGCCCTCAGTTACCACGCAGAACCTCTGAGCTCTAGGGCTTCAGAAGAGGGAGCAGCGGCCAGCCCTCACCAAGCCCTAGGCTGTGACCTGCACAGCTCCCAGTGCGTCGCCTTGCTGTCCCCTCTGCCCCCTCCCAGGCTACTCAGTTCCAGTGTGGTGAATTAAACAGAAAACCTTGTCTGTTTCTGCCACCTGCCCCCCAGCACACTCTGGTGACCAGGGACGGGTGCCATGGGGCCTGAGCCCACCTTTCTGTCTGTTCGCAGGGTCTAAGCCACACTCCCACCCAAAGCAGCCACGTGGCTGCCTCCCTCCCCACTGGCTGGGACTTGAGCCCCACCACTCCTCAGAAGGGTAACACCTTTTCTGGGCTCTGATGTGGCCAAGGGTGTTGTTAAGGCACCCGCTGGGAGATCATTCTCCGTGTGTCTGTGTGTCGTCCTCCCACCTCTCCTTCCTCCAGCTACTCCCCTCCCGGTGTGTCTGCCACACTCCCTGCCTCCCCCGCCCCCGCCCCACCCCCCTGGATTCAGCCTTGGCTCCCTCTGCCACCCAGAGTGGCCTCTTCTCTACAGAGGCTGTAGATCAGCCCTGCCAAGGTCTGGGTGTCAGGCACTGGCCCCACAAACCCACCCAGCCTCTGTAGCCCTGAATCCAGAGCCCAACCTCCCCCCACCTTTGGGCCTGGCAGGCTTGGCAAGCCTGCAGCCACGCCTTTGGCCCAAACCAAAGGTCTGTGAGGAGCCCAGCCAGGGCTCAGGCTGGGAAGAGGTGCCTGGGCTCGGGCCTCCGCTCTGCTCTCCACCCAGAACAACCTCCACCTGGTCTGCTTCCGGCGCTAGCTGCACCCAAGCCGGCCTATGCCTGCCTTTTCCCTGGACTCAGCCAGGTGCTAACATGGCTCAATCTCTTCTTCATACCTGGAGATGGACTTTGCCCATCTTCTTAACCCTTTAGGGTTGTGAGAACTACCCTCCCCCAGAGTCATTGGTGCTTGGGGCCTTCCCACCGGCTCAGTGGTTCCCAACCTTGGCCACTCAGCGGAATCAGCTGGGGTAGGGAAGGGGGGTGAGCTTTGAAAACTACTGGGCCTGAGTCCTACCCCTGAGAATTTGAGGTGAGCTGTTTGGGAGCTGACAGCACCAAGATTTTTAAAGTCTCCCCAGGGGGATTCTAAAATTCAGCTTAGAACCACTGATTCTGAATGTGTAGATTTTGAATTGTGTTTTCAAGATAAGAGGACTTTCAAAGCAATCCTGAGGGGCCGGTCCGGGCAGCCTTGTGCTGCCGAGGTAGGGGGCATCAAGCAGGTGAGGATGTCACTGGAGGCAGAGCCAGGGGGCATCAAGCAGGTGAGGATGACACTGGAGGCAGAGCCAGGGGGCATCAAGCAGGTGAGTATGTCACTGGAGGCAGAGCCAGTCACCTAAGCAACCTGTGGCCCTCAGCTCTGGGACTGGAAGGTGTCACCACCTGCAGGTCCAGAAAGCAGTGGGCAGGGGGAGTGAGGAAGGAGGGAAAGAGGAGAATGGGAAGGAGGACAAGCTGTCCCCATCAGTGCTGTGACTTTTGACATGCTCTGACTTAATGGAGAGGGAATTTCACATGGAAACAGTGGGAGACACTTGCAGCCAAGCAGAGCCATTCCCTTTGTTTGAAGCCAAATTCAGGGGGCCGTGTGGGTGGGAGGGGGAGGCAGCGGGAGGCTCAGGGAAGCTGGGGCGGGGGCCTCGAGAAGCCAGTGTCACAGCAGCAGTGGGGAGGGAGGAGGGGCCCTGTAGGGAAGGCCTCTCGGGACCTGGGTACAGATGGAAGTCTCCATCAGCTTAGGCTTTTCTGAGCCTTTCGAACATGTCATTTGATGTGCACAACAGCCCCCGCAGCCAGGTGTTAATTTCCCAATCTCAGAGCTCAAACTCAAGGTCAAGCCAGGTCTGCCAGCCTCTCCATCTTGGAAAGGACAGAAGGAGGCTCAAATAGTGTCTCAAGTTTAGGTTCATGGGGAGAAAATGCCATCCAGATCCCGCTGGTCTCTTTAGTAAAGCCTCTCCCTAACTGTATAAAGTACTATAAAAATATTAGAATATGCCAAAGAAGAGGAGTAAAACATTCTCTCTCACCACCTACATCCTGCCAGCACCTCAGCTAATACCTGGGGCAGAGTCTCTGTTACAACACCTGAATCTCAGAGGAGGGTGAGGGGTGCAGTCTAACCAGATGACCAGACTGGTAAGGAAGACAGGGCTGAGGTACCCCCCTCCCGCTCCAGAAAGACAGACAGATGTCATGGAGGCCAAAGGCAAAGCTTGGGGAATGGACCCCAAATACCAGGGTGTCAGACGGCCCTGCGGTCCCCCCGCAGTCTCGCCTGCAGGTGAAGTCTGCAGCCATTCCAGACACCCTCTCCTTTTTCTGCAGTCTTCATTCTCTCCTGGGACACCCCAGGCACACCCCCACAGCTGGCTCCTGCAGCCTGGTCTGCACTGAGGGACTCAGCTCTTCCGGCCACAGCTGAAGGGCCCAGGGGTGCCAGCCAAGCTTCTGCCTGCTGCCTTGTCCCTGCTCTGACCACCTGTGGCCTTCCTTACCCAAATTGCTCCTCTGGGCACTGTTGCAGGGATTTCTCAGCTTCCTGAGCGCGGGGCCTGTCTTCCCAGTGAAACTGCATGTGCATAAGGGCAGCCCCCGAGCTCCCAACGCCAGAAGGAGCTGCTTGGCACAGCTTCCGAAGCCTTCCTCGCACAGAGGACTACCAGGACTACCCAAACTACCCTCCGGGCCTCGCCTCCCCTACAGCCCTCTCCAAACTCAGTCACATGCCTTGTTCGTTTTTCTTTCAAGCCCCCACTCCCCAATCCTGACACAGCACCTGGCACAGAGCAGATACTCAAAATATTTTCGTTGACTTGAAACCACAAATACTCATCGGGTTGAATAAATATTGTTCTTTTCAAGGAGTTGAGAGAGAGAAAGAACCACCTGTTAGGATCCTGTCATGCACAGCTTGGCCCTGGTTGAACGCGTACCCCCACCCCCAGGAAGTCCCCATGAGGCCCGGAGCGACCCAGCTGCAGAGCCCAAGGCCGCCAGAGCACAGCCTGGACCCATCGGCCTGTCTGAGCTGCTGCTAGGGCAGCCCAGGGAAATTCTCCAGGAATACACCCTCTGGCAATAAACAGACTGAGCATTAAATTTATTGTTTAAATCAGGACACTTTTGAGAGTGAACTAGAAAGTATGCTGGGACCAGTTCAAGTGAGCAGGCTGGATGGTGACTCTGGGCATTCTATCAGGTTCTGTGCTCAACCCCAACAGTAGACAAAATAGTTTTCCAAATGTAATAACTTGCTAAAATAAAGTAACTTGGGACCAAGATGGCTTTATTTTAGAAGCCAATTGTGTTGTTGAAGAAAAGGCTGTGTTCTCGGCCCATTTTGGCGATGGTCCGGGGCAGCTTGGGGAATTGTGCTGAAGATGTGTATGCTCCCGGGCCCGGGGTTTTCTGCAAACAGAGCAGAAAACAGGAACTGATGAGAGCGTGACACCGAAACCCTGGAGCCTGCAGAGCCTGGCTGCAGGCTCAGGTGTGGTGGCAAATCCACAAGGACCACGCTGGCTTTGGCTACGGCGGGGGGCACCATTGCACTGGCACTGATCCTTGGGAGGAGCCAGTGTCCCCAAGGTGGCAGAGGTGCCGAGAGACAGCAGCCTAGCCCTGCGGGGGTGGCAGCAAGCCTGCCACACTTTCTCCCACAGGGCAATTTGTCCCTGGGAACCTCAGTCTGGTAGTAAGGAGTTGGAGAGAATGGATTCTGAACCTGCGTGGTTGACCTCCGAAGCCCAAACTCGTGTGTTTCTATCGCTGACCCCGCATGCGTAGTAAGGCATTTCTCTTCCACGGTCTGTGGACCCCAGGGTCAGAAGTACTCTCAAGGGGATCTACAAGGTCTACTTTTTCAAGTCATGTTTTCATTTTTTAATTCTTAAAAAAAAAATTATTGCGCCAATTGTTTAAACAAAGCGTCTATTCTGTAGGTATAAAATGCAAACGACTGTCATTTTCACAGGCTAAGACTTGGCTTTCTAAGGTCAGTGTTTTCCAGGCTGGAGGCTGGGGCACACGCACTCTTACAAAACCTAAAGGAATTTCATCCTGGGTTGTTGGAGGGACACCAGGGCCTCTGTGTGTGGTTAAGGGAAGAATTTTATTGTCAGATAGGCCTGAGTTCAGGTCCTAGTCTCACTCCCAGTGGCTCGGTGTGACCTTGGGCCATGGCTTCCCATGCCCCCTCCATCAAATGAGGACCTGACCTCTCAGGAGAACCTCAGGACAGGCGTTCCATACGCCAGCTACCACTGCCAGGATTATTCCCTGTTATCACCTTCTTGTCATTTCCTTCCTTGCTTGCAGCTTGTTATCTCTTCAGGAGACAGTGCAAGTGGAAATTGGATTACTCTGAGAGTGGGACAGAGAGTCAGCCCAGCGTGGATGAGGTCAGCTGCCTGCAGAAGCTGCTTTAAATGACAGGAAGTTTCCTTTGCCAAAAGCAGAGGAGCAGCCTGGAAATCTCATCCAGTCCTGGCCGGATGTCAGGAAAGCTGAACCCTTTATTAGTGCTATTAATGAGGAAGCAGCCTGTGTGAGGAGCCCTGGAAGACTGGCCCACAGAACGGGTTTGTGGGCCTGCACCCTCCTTCCCCAGAAGACCACCCCTCAGAAGGCTGCCAGTTATGGTTCTCAGACCTTGAGAACATCCGGCTCCATCCTCCAGCTGATTTCACTGTTACCAGGCAAACTTCTCATTGTCCTTGGCTTCCATGAAGTTTCTTATAAGAGGAGACACTCCACAGAGCAGCAGCCCTGAACACCAGCAACCCCCTTGGTGGACACTTGTAAATTAATACTGCACCTTCTGGCTTCTCTAGCATTTTCCTGGGAGTTTGGTTAGCATGACTCCAATTTCCTGAGGATGCTCAGCCCTGTGAGCTCTGACAAAAATCTGTGTCTGGATCATAGTGATGCCATAAGGTATGAGGATCAGATGAAGGGATCCACCAGCCTCCTGTTGTCAGTCTCCAGTATTCATACCTCCCGATAAAGACCACACTACCCCACCCTGCAGCTGGCAGCCCCTCTGGACCAAGATCCCGAAGGCAAGAGCCTGGGACACCAAGGTGGGGCTGGGGAGGTGACCTGCGGGCCCAGACAGCAGCAGTACTACCCATTGCCCAGCTCTGCCCACCTTCCTTCATGCCCCAGGGTGGGCCCATTTTCTTATAGGCAGAATGTGTATTTCTGTCTCCCAGCCATCTTAAATAAGGCTACATTCCAGCGAGTTTGAGGGACTTTCGTACTGGGGTGCAGGCTAGAAACACCAAAGCCATGGGAGTTCAAACCGTCTTTTAGCATTTTTTTAAAAAGCCACTGTTCATAAATTCCATGTTATGCTTTTGAGATCTTCCTTGGTCTCCCTAGGCCTTTGAGGCTCTCACCCACTCCCAGGTTCTACCTTCTTCATATCGCTCTGTGGACTTGAGCTTCTTCCCTATTTGTCCTGAGTCCGTAAGGGCAGGATGATTGCTCATGCCTTCATGGTCTTCTTTGGTTCAATAATAATGTGTCTGCTCTCACTTTTTGCTCTCAGAAACCACACGCACAAAGAAAAGCAGTTCTGGATGGATGGGGGCAGCCACTATCCACTGCTTGCCCCAATTAATTAAAGGTGTTTCCCCACAAAGCATGCAGGTCATGACACGGATGGCTAATCACTGTGCTGGCTGCTCTCAGCTGGAGCCATAACTCAGCTGCAGTCTTCAGAAGTCACTCTGTGCCTGAACCTGGCTGAGGGCTCGCAGGTATTTGAGCTCTATACTCTGCTGCCTTGACAAGCAAGCAAACACACACACACACACACACACACACACACACACACGAATTGTAGATAATACCCCCATCCCATCTCCACAGCTCACTGTCCCCCAACACACAGCCACAAAACCTACAACCGTAATCTGGCCTTTAGAATACTTACTGAACAGGCGGGCAAGAATCGGGGTACTCTGGACTGAAAACAAGAAGTAACAGAAATTGCTGGAGGTATTTTCAGGTCATAATGACCTGGTCCTGGGCCTTCATGCTATAGAAAATTGAAAAGAAAAGTGTTTCATAATTACTAATATTTGATATATTTTAATGCTTTATTTGCCTTCTACAAATAAACATGTGAATAGTGTGATATGATAGAAAAACTGGATTTGGGCTTGGAAGATCTTATGCATGTGTGCCCTGGCACAAATCACTGTGAGATGGGGAAATACCTGCTCTATCTGCTTACCTGCCTGGTGGATGACTGTGAAGACTAAAGGTTAAATGACTGTAAAAGTCTCCCCGGGTCCCTGCCTGAGCCTCCTCCCTGCACGGCACACCTCGCTCCATACTTACCCTCTGGCTGTTAATAGTGACTTCCCACTCTGAGCTGTTAGCTTTATAAAGCACACTTACTCTTTCATATAACTGTGATACATGTTATCTTAGTACAAACAAGTATTCACAGAATTTCACTGACATAAGTACTATGTTATGAGATTAACATAAATGGATGAACACAATTTTAAAAAGACAAACATCCCAACAGAAAAAATAGCAAAAGGCAAATTCACAAAGAGGAAATACAACTGTGCAGTGAGGAAGTGAGGGGGGGGGCTAACCTTATTAATAACCAAATCAGTTTTTACTAAAACAACAATAAGATTTTTTGTTGTTGTTGGGGGAGGAGTCTAAAAAATTAACAAAGGTTAAAAGAAAGAAGGAAAAAAGGAAGGCTGGGGTGGGTGGGGGGAGAGAGAGAGAAGGGGAAACAAAACTTGACCCATCAGCATGGACACTACTATATGATTCTGGTGGAAGTACAAATGTGAGTAGCCTTTCTGGAGCACAATTTGGCAAACTATGAAATAACTTAAAAACATATATGCCTATCCAAATGGAGAGAAAGGAGGAGGAGACTGGTTACGAGTGCTGCAGAAATCCAGACGACGAATGCATCCTGAGCCCAGAGACAGGGAGGATTGACATGGCAAACACCACAGTAGATGATGTAGATAAGATGTTAGCCTTTGGTTTTATTTTATTTCATTTCATTTCATTTTATAGTAATTCACTTGTTTCCTCTCCCATTTTCAAATACCTAAGCTATTTGACAAAAATGAGTCTTCCTGGCATGACGTCCTGGATCCGGTTCTCGGTAATGCAGGAACTAGGGGGAGTGAATGGAGGTGGAGGTGAGCCAGGAGCTGATAATGGTTGAATGGGCACATGAGGTTTGATACAGCCTTCTGTCCATGTGGTATATATTTTTTATGTTTTTATAATACAAAGTTAAAGACAATGTATATTTATTATTTTGACTCAGCAATTTCCCCTTTTAGGAATTTATCCTAAGAAAACAACTGAGAATGTGTGTGCAAATATTTGGCCACAGAGGCATTCACTATAACATCGTTTCTTTTCTTTTTTTTTTTTAATTTTTTTTTCTTTATTGATTAGAGAGAGAGAAGAAGGGAGAAAAAGAGATAGAAACATCAATGAGAGAGAACATCAAAAGATACGAAATGGGGAAAACTATATAAAATAACATTTGTTTTTTATTATTTTCTATTTAGTGTTGTTTCAATAAAAATTTCATTTTTTCTTCAATTAAAAAAAAAATGAGAGAGAACATTGATTGGCCACCTCCTGCATGCCCCCCTCTGGGGATCAGGTCCGCAACCTGGGCATGTGCCCGGACCAGGAATCAAACCAGTGACCTCTTGGGGCATGGGTCGACGCTCAACCACTGAGCCACACCAGCCGGGCTAACATCATTTCTAAGAGTTGAAAATTATCCTGGCCGGTGTGGCTCAGTGGATGAGCATCAACCCATGCACCAGGAGGTCACCAGTTCGGTTCCCAGTCAGGGCTCGTGCCCAGGTTGTGAGCCAAATCCCCAGCGGGGGGGGGCATGCCGGAGGCAGCCGGTCGATGTTCTCTCTCATCGACGTTTCTATCTCTCTCTCCCTCTCCCTTCCTCTCTCTCTAAAATCAATAAAGAAAAAAAAAATTTTTTTAATTGAAAATGAGAAATAAACTAAATGACCAATGACATCTGCCTGGTTAAATAAGTTGTGATTCTTTTATCCAGTCATCCAGTGTTGATGAATATTTATGGACATAAAAGCTATTCCCAAATATTGTCAAGTGAAAAATAGAAGCTTAAAGAAAACGTGCTTGAAAAAACTGGGAATGAATGTTCACTGACAGGTGTCTCCTCCAGGTGGTGGCATGTTGAGTAAAAAGACACTTAAAAAATATTTTTTTTTTGCTTATCAGCACTTTAATCTTTCTACAATGGATTTTTGAGTGCTCTTAAAATATGAAAAGCAATTATACCTAATGTATAGATAAATTAATATGGAAAAGGAGTAAACAGAAAAATGTATCCCATAAGATCTTTATAATGGGTAAGACTGGGCCACAAATTAGCCAATGAATTTGGCAAGACAATCACCGAACAGCAGGCCCTTCGCAGGATTCAGAGCGGGGCTTTCCTGTTCACTCCTACGGGTGGCACAGCAGTGTAATTAGGGCTCCATTCTCAATTACTCCACCATGAATGGAGTCTGTTATTAACAACCAAGCCTGTCTGATAATCAAGGGATGGATGTGCCTCCTAATTTTACAACTCACGGCAGAAAGATGAAAACAGAAATGTTTTTTTAAAAATACATACGTAGGACAGAGACTGCTCTGTATATGGAGTGACCTCTGCATTTCCACTGGAGAAATCTGAGCCACCACAAAAACAAAGGCATAGAAAACCGAGGGAATCCGACAGGAAGAGTTTGTGCAACATCCCCTCGGTTTGGCCATAATAGGCACAGTGCTATCAAACCAGAAAGGTAGCTGGGGCAAAAGATGCTATTGAGTGTGCTACCGTTGACTGCATGCCCACGACAGCCCAGCTGTCTGCAGGACGGCCAAGAAATGCCACCACCTGCACCCTTTCCCCCCGAGCTTAATGAGGCTTTCATCTCTAAGCTTCCAAGTCATGAGCTCCGTGGGAGTCCAGGTGCCAGGCCTAGCGAAGCACGGATGTCTGCCTGTCATCCAGCAGCCGCCTTGCATGAGCTTGGTCACCTGAATGAAAAAGACTAAGCCATGGGGCAGAAAGGAATGACTGGATGCGATTTGGCCCACATGTGTCAGATGAAACCTTTTAAGTAGGAACATTAGAGAAGTGGATACAGGCCCAAGTTCATATTCCAGAAGCCAGAGGAATGCTGTTCTAAATGAGAAGTAATGATCAGGCCAAGGTCCTGCACTGGGTGGGAAACATTTCCAGCAGAGTCCTGGCTTCTTCCCCATCCGAGGACATGTGATTGGGCAGAGCAGGAATGGAGGGAAGGGGACACTGTCCAAGAGGACAGTGAATGCATGATGGGAAATGGACCTCTGAATGCATGACAAGAAATAGACCTCATTCAACTGGAAGGTGTTTAAAACAAGGACTTTTGAACTGGGTCCTACTCTTCCTTGAGGTTGGGGACTCTATCTCTCATTTACTGGGGATCACTGACCGTGACCCAAAGCTTTGGTCCACATTGCATACCATGTGTGGGTTAAGGGCAGCACCCCGGCTCATCAAGCAGTGCTAAGCACGCCCTGCATAAATCAAATGGGTAACTCCTTAAACCTTGCTATTTTCAGAGTCATGCTTTGGCAACTCTGGATTTCCCGAAACTAAACCTTTCAAACACCATTGACATTTGGTGCCAAGGGAGAACAGAACCGTCACCTTCCTAGAGTCTGCTGCCAAAAGAAACTACAGGAACCCTTGTATAGTACCCATTCTTCTGCTTTGGGGCATGATTCTATCTCAGCCCTCCTGACAAGATAATATCTCTCTCTTCCCTTTGAAAAAGTCCTATTTAATTGAGTGTCTACTTGAGGGCAGCTTTAACCAAGGGGAGCTGTAGGGATTACACAGATGAATAAAATATTATCTTCAAGCTCAGAGTTTATAGTACAGTGAGGGACACAGGCAAAACCAAATAAAATAAATCCAAAAGAATTAATAAGTGCTGAGTGGGGGCTGAGCTAGCTGCCTCGCTCCAGGATTCTAAACTAGGCCCTGGTGTAACTGGCCTGTGCAAGCTAAGTGTGATCTCACTGGGCCACACAATATCACCAAGGACAGGAGCTTCCCAGTCACTGCAAAGGGCTCGAATGCATAGGCCCCACTGACTTTTCTGGAGTGCTCCTGGGTTTCTGTCCTACCATGGAGAAGCTTGACTTACTTGGTTACAACTGCTTATGGACAATAATGCTCATTACCATTATAGGCTCTTGGTGAGCCCTACCCGTGCCCTCCACCCCCTGCCCCTGCACATACTCTTTCAGGGCTGAGAGGATGGAACTGGCTCATCTACACAACACTGCTCATGAATTAAAAGTCAGGAGCCTGGCTGGTGTGGCTCACTGGTTGAGCATCAACCCATGTACCAGGAGATCGCTGGTTCGATTCCCAGTCAGGACACATGCCCAGGTTGTGGGCTTGATCCCCTGTGGGGGGCATGCAGGAGGCAGCCAATCAATGTTCTCTCTAACCAATGTTTCTATCTTGGTCTCCCTCTCCCTTCCTCTCTCTCTCTAAAGTCAATAAAGAAAAAAAATTTTTTTTAAAGTCACGAGGTGCTTCTGAAAGATAGCATGAAAGTAGATGAAATTATGCCAAGTTTGTATGTGTTGAATCATGTCCTCCCAAAATAAAAAAAATCCTATGAATTTTTGTTCTGTTAATATTAGTGCCCTCCCCCAAATTCATAAGTCCTGTGACTTTTGAATTCCCAGCATCTCAGAATGTGATCTTATTTGGAAATAGGATCATCCTAGATGGAAATTAGTGGTGATGAGGTCATTAGGATGGGCTCTAAGCCAATATGAATGCTGGCCTTTGTAACAAGGGGAATTTTGGACTCCGAGACACGTGACCAGGGAAAACACCATGTGAAGGTGAAGGCAGAGACCCTGCCGAAGATTGCCAGCAAACCGCTGGAGGTGAGAGGAGTGGACAGAAGGAACCAACACGGCCGGCACCTT